TAGCAAACATTTTATTAAGATTATTTTCAGCTTTCGATTCAACGCTCAATCTATTTCTATAGCTAGCTACATTTACTACTTACCACAAATAAGATGAATAATAACAATCATTTTAGGCAAAAATCTACTTATATCAAAATTACTATATTGTCCAGTCAACAAAATTGCATAAGTCTTTAGAAAAATGTGAGATTTTACATATTATACCCTAGGTTTACAGCGTCTTTTTACACAAAAAATCATAATCAACCAAGATATTATTAACAGTAATGCATGCTCCGCTCATGAATAACAAAACCATTTTATTTCGCCCCTTACTGCATTCTGTACGCTACAATTATTATTATTATTGTCATGTAAATATTCTTTAGAATAGAATCAATAAACACGAGAAAAATAAATTCATTGTGTAGCTTGTGTCATTATGAAATATTGGTATTTTTTTTCCAGTCAACCTTTCAATTTTCAGGTGTTCAGATCGATTTTTTTTTCTCCGATGAAAGATCTTATCTTGAGAATCGATCAATTCCGTCACTGGAAATAATCCAGCGCAAAATAAGGCTATTCGTCATTCCCATAACATTTTCGTCTGTTTTAAATTAGCATGATTTAGATTGAAGACTAAACATTACTGTTTTCCGTCTCGAAACCACATCAGTGTATCATTTAATAAAAAACGAAAATCCGTATCAAATTTAAAGCATTTCAAAATAAGGAAACACATTTCTTTACAGTTTTTTACAATATTTTATTATATGTTTTTTTTTTAAAAGAAAACGATAATTTATACAAAAGATTTCTAAATACTATCCCATAGATTTTGATCATTGCTCACAGAAGTCGCTTGGGTAAAAAAGAACGCCGTTAAATATAAGAAAAGGGTTCATTTGATGATAATGATGATGAAATTAATATAAGATAAAATTAAAGTGGGAAATAGTGTTGATGGACATTTCATTCGAAAAACGTTTGCAAGAAGGAAAAAAAAAATTCAAAACTAATCTTTGTCGTTTGCTAATGCAATCCACTTGATGGTGTTTTATCTACCATATTTCCTTATTTTCTAAATCTATTTACATTGTCAGCAGCTTTAATTTCTTCCAAATGGCGGAATTTCTTCGCCGATGATGGCAAAGCTTTAACCTGTAAAATTCCGTCCTGCGAAATTGTTGCACGCACATCTTCTGAATCAAAGAAATCGGGCAGTCTATAATTACGCGAAAAACTACGTGGAATCGCGTTTCCCGGACGTCTTCCTTGTCTTCCTTCAATGGACACCATTTCATTCATCGTTCTTACGGTGATTTCTTCGGGATTGAAACCAGTAATGTCCAAATACACTAAAAATTCATCTTTGTTGGCGTGTGATTTTCGCTCTAGCTCATCCTTAGTGAGATTGAATGAACCAGGATACTGGGTGATGGGACAATTA